TCTACATTGCAGTTTTATAGCCCTGCAGTTGAGTCAACTACTATGGGCCAGCTGTGGGTATGTCTACACTGCAGTATAAGCCCAAGGTTCAAACTCAGGTTTAAGCCTAACCCCCCATTCCTTCTACACATAAAGCATGTTAATCCAGGGTCCCAGGGTCCCTCAGGGGTGGAGGGTCCAAGCCTGAGTGAAGCTGGGAACCAGAGTTCAAGCTCTATTGCTTTACAATGTAGACACAGCCCTGTGGGACTTGTGCTCTGGGTATCTACCAAAAGTATTCCACAATTCCATGAGCCAATTTTCTCTATCCTTTAGACAATCAAGTTTGATGGACAGTCAAGTTTTCCCACACTGCCCCACATATAAAAGGCTAGAGCAGCCACATTTTGGGAGGATGCTAGGAAGTCTGGGCTATGGGTGGTTGGACTTGGGCCCATATAAAGCAATATGGACCCTAGAGCCACAGGTTAGGACCCTGAGTTCAACTATTCCTAACCTGGGGTTACAAATTAGTGTAGCTCTCAAGCCCTAGGTTAACAAATCCAGGGTCTGCTAACTTGAATGCTGCTAACTCTGGGCTTACATTGCAGTGTAGACATACCCTGAGGATGTTTTTGAGATGAGTGTTGTGCCTCTTGCCTTTGAGTGAAGAGAAATGGAAAGAGCTGTTCCTTTTGCTCTGTGCTGATAGGAGAAGTGCACAAAGCTAAGGGGATCTTTTCCTCAACGGTGGGGAGAGCTCTTCTGCATTTGTTTGAGGTGCATCACCAGGAAAAGTATCTGAAGACAGGCCACCTTAAGGCTGTGTATGAACCATGTTGGACTTCACTGGGCAGAGGGAAGGGCTGAGCAGAGAAAGCTAGCTTAAAAGGCACAAACCCTCCAGAAGGCCCCTAGTGAATCCCATCTTCTATTCCCTGTCCATAGGTCCTATACTTTTCTGACCCTCACTGTTTTCCTCTATTCCCCACTGCCTCTTGGTGAAGGTCCAATCCTTTCTTTTTCCCTAGCTCAGCCAGGGAAGGGGAGCTGAAGCTGCCTACTGCTATGAGAGGGAGGCTACCTGCAGAGGAGGTGAGAGGGAAGAATACTTCACTCACGATCCCAGTGCCCTAGAATGAGATATTGTCCAGGCTAAACTAGCTGTTTGCAGTGTTGAAGAAGAGCTCAGTGTAGCTCAAAAGCTCGTCTGTCGCAGCAACAGAAGTTGAGAGAGCAGTGACCTGCTGCCTGGGGGTGTTCCCTGTGCTGCAGGCTCGCCTCAGAAGGGAAAGTAGCTACCTGCTTCTGCCAGTGGCCATGTTCTATTGCACTTAGGTAGAACATACATCCTGACTGCTTCTGTTACTTTGAGGGCTGGGATACCTCTGCTCTTCTCAGCCTTGAGGCAAAGGGGAGCAAGCTGTTGCTAGTAATGTCTGGGCCATACAGACCTCTTCATTCTCTTCCTGGGTTTCTGCCCTGCTAAAACATGATGGGATGGCAGGTTTATTCCCACTGCTGCTTCTGTATTGGGCTAGCACTTGAGGCATCTCCCTCTCTTCCCCAATAACCTAATGGGCCAGTCTCCTTGGTTTTCAGCAATGCATTCTGGGGGATTCTCAAAGGAGGAAGTTGAGGAAGGGTTGTTTTTTTCAAACCTTAAAAAGATAGGCAGCCTTATATTGAAACACAGACATCCTACTTTAGTCAATCATGCCTCAGTATGCTTCATTATGAAGGGCATGTTAGTCCAGAAATTATTTGTATTCCACCCAAAATTGCTGACCCTGGCACATCCTTAACCAATCACTCCTGCAATTAAGAATCATAAAACTGAAGATCTAAGCATTCTGCAAGAGGGAAAATAAATTCCCCTCATTGTAGGTCTTTGTTATGCATTGCATCCCATCCCAAGTTTGGGCCTTATTAGTTTGGAGGTATGATCTCAGTTAATGAAGCTGTAGACTTCCTGGTTCCTCTTTACCAGCTCAACCCTGGAGAAAGCTCTTTAGTATAGCTCTGATTTCAGACTTTCTTGGCTGGCTTCCAAACAGCAAATTGGAAGATTTGAGTCTATGTTAATTACTTGAATTTAGGTAAAAGTTCTGATGTCATAAAAATGTAATTTATAAAATAGGTTAAGCTTGTCACTGCTGAAGAAGTTGCATTTTTCATTGACTTCTGTGTTTAATTGGATAGTTGACAACAGGTATTGGCTTTTTCATGTTATCTTCTAGCTGCCACGAGGAGAGGTCTCCCTTCTTGGCCATTGCTAAATTCTTAGTGCACCCAGGTGCTGAATTTGACAGCTGTACTCTCCTATCAATTAAATGTACCTCACCAGCAGGGTTTTTAAATGTCTGATTCTTTGAGCACTGGGTCTTGCAAACATCTCTGTGGCCAGGCTGAATAATTTGATAGGTAACTAAAATCATTAGTAGTTTCATTATTTGCATCATAAGGGAGCTGTTGACCAGTGGATAGAGCACAAAGGAGCTTAGATTCTACTGGGTTGCTAATCTACATGTGGTGATTTTTCTTCAAGCTCTGGCTCCTGGATTCAAGTTATTAGGAGATTCCAAGCCAAATTTCATTGGCATAAAATCATTTTTTGTTAAAGATTTTTTTTTGAGGACCTGATTGAAGTATTTTGAAAGCTTAAGGTTGGCAATATTGACTTAATACACAATGTCTAGTTCCTCATGACCCATTCTGTGAAATAAGGAGGATGTTTATCTATAACTTTCTAAAGTACTTAAATCTATAGTTGAAAATCAGTAAATCAAAACTGTTAACTTGGTAAAGATTTTTTTTCTTCTAGGCTAGTAAAACTTGATTTTACCAGGCTGATTTTGATTTGATCAAATCTGGTTAGTTTGTACAGCAGGATAGGAGATATGAATTAACCTCAAAATTGCATCATACTGCTTTTTCTACTGTAATACAATTTGCTTCTCTCCTGGTGTGGCAACTGACCTGTTGATACCTGATTAAGTTCTTGTTTGGGCACAATTTGTCCAGCAGATGAAATCTTAAACTAGGGAGAGAGTGTGCTCTCCATTCAGTATGGAGATTAGTGGTATGGATGGTTTCAAACTACCTTTATAAAAAACCACAAGATTTATACTCTTCATTCAAGGAAGAATCTGGATGACATTAATAGGAACAAACATGACTAATGGCTTCAGTTATATAATAGCATGGATTTGTTGGTGAAAATTAGCATACTCAAGGCTAGAGGTGGAAAAGGCAAAGTTTAACCGTGAGTAATTAGACAGGCATACACTGTAAAGTAGTTTCCTTTAACTTAAAATCCAGATTTAACTTTGCAATATTCCAGTAGGATTATGCCAATTACATATGAAAAAGACCTATCAGATGAGTGTTTTTTGAGAAAAGCTTTGTTAAATGGGTTCATACATCTTATGATACTCCATAGTAGACTCCGCCCATTAGTCTGGAACTTCTAGTTTTCATACAGTATGTCTATATGCTGTTCGCTTTTTGTTAAACTTTTGCAGAGTAGTTGTATTTTGGAAGAGGGGAATGCCAGTAGATCCATTGCTCTTTTAAAAATGCTGTCAAAGTAGTCTTTTATTTAGATAAACTCACTGTCTGCATTGCTGTGTGTACATGTAGTTCATGAGTCTAGCAGATAAGACTGGGGTTGAGACACGCAGCAACTTGGTTGTGGTAAGTTTGTAAACATAGACTAACCATTAAATTAAGTCTGTTATGTGAATCTGGTCATTTGAAAAAACCCTCCATAGTAAAGGAAATGGAGAAATATCCGTTAACATAAACATCTTAATTTCAATCATGCATATCAGTACTCTCATAATGGTATATACAATGGCCTTATACTGAAATATAAAGAGCTTGAAACAGAAAAATACACAACTGGACATAAGTAAAATACACTCTCATTGGCAAGCATTCTTAAATAGTAAGAGGAAAAAGGTAAAGGATAGCAGGCAATAACACAAGTTTAAGTATGTTAAAGACAATACTTTCCCCCCTGTGTTTGGTGACTACCCATACCTCTTTCTTAGTGGTCCCTTTCTGATTGCTCTTGACATCAAAGGGGGGCTGACTGGGCAATAAGATAAAGGTGGACTGGAAAAAGAATTGTGACTGATGGTAAACTGGCTACAATGAGTATGAGCAAAGCTACACTTTCCTGACTGAGTGTTACTTTATCCTCCAATAGACAAAAGGCCTAGAACAGTTTTTCCTCAAACAAAAACTAAGACCTTTTGTATGGTGTAATATAATATAGTATACCATAGTCCTTGATAAACCTAGCAAATGATTCCTGAACTGCTTAATCTTCTCCCAGTTTCATTGGCAACAGCATCCTTTTGAATCCAGTATTTCTTCCTCCTTGAAGATTTAGGGTGAAATCTTGACCCTATTGTAATCCTATTGCCAGGACTCCATTGTCTTCAGAGGGACCAGGATCTCACTCTTGATCTTTAAAACACTAACTTTCTTAAAAGAAAAGACAAGCTATCCTAAACCCCATTTCATTGCTGGAGAGGCTCACAGTAAGAAATGTATGTGCCGCTAGGAAATTCTGTAGAACTGTTTGTCACCCAACAAGGGTAGGACAATGCATCTGTCTGTAATTGACATATTACAAAAAGCAACACTCCCATTCTCATATATATATACGTTGTAACTCATTGCAACAGGAAAGGACATAAGGAACTCTCTAACTAATCCTGTATATCTAGTGAAATTGTTGCATTATGCTATTCTATACCAAAATTGACCAAAGCTACCAGAGAGCTTTCTATCTTTATAAAAGGAAGTGCTCTGACTTCCTGGCTCAAAATATACATAACAGTAACATTTTGGCAGATACAGTATTTCCTTACTCTGAAAATAATTAATACTCGCACCTTCCTATTCCGCAAGCGATTGAGATCATATCCATGTTTTAAGATGTCAGATGTCCGCTATTCAGTTTATCACTACATAATCTAATTATATATATATACCTTGTTTTTAAACAGCTTTATCTCACGTTAAACCTTCACGGAGCAACCATGTTGATTCTTCTGGCTTTCATTATTGTGTTTCACATAACTTCAGCAGCGCTGTTGTTCATCTCAACCATTGACAATGTAAGTTTCATTCCACCTAGAAATTCTAATTCAGAGCCATACGTTTCTCCATGTTATACTGACTTGAGCTTCAGATTATGCATTTTCTAGCTGTGTAGTCACAGAAAAAGCAGCTTCCCCAGCTTGTAATCTGGGCACAATCATAATTGAAATATAAATGCACCTTTATATAAAATGTGAAGAAAAACATTTCCTGGTCCTAGAGTCTAGCTGAATATTAAAAGTACAGTCAGATCAAAAATTAAACCAGCAGTTGCTCCTCAGGCCAACCCAAAATGTAACCAACTAGCATATTTAACCTAAACAATGCCCCTCTCTGCTGAAGTAATGCCCTTTTTTATCAGATCCCTCACTTCCCAACTGACTCTCTTCTCTCTTGGTTTTGTGTTTATTTCATACGCTTGTTTTTTTTGAGTTCTCCGAAGCATTTGACAGTGTTAGGATTTAGTACACTTGATCTAATTAATGGGGAAATTCTCGGCTTCTTGTACTTGCTCGTAAGACCTGAAACCTCCTGCTGCGACTGTGTCTGGAAGAGGCTATCCAAATCACTGCCACGCCGCTACGTTTCACAGAGCAGCATTCTGGAGCAGGGCAGGGGGATGTGACCTATGGGCCTGCAATTACATGTATCTACTGGCCAAGAACCTACAAACACTGTAGCTTGGAGGCTGAAGTTGTGGCTCTGGGTATTGCTGAGTTTGGGGAGAAGTGAAGATTTTACTGCACTCCTGCCAATGTCACATACACAGAACCAGTTAATTTATGATTTTTGTAGTGGGAGACTTTCAGCCTAATAAGCCTTATTAATACATTTGTGCAAGGCACCTAAAACAGTACTATGGAAGACACACTAGAAGTTGAAATACGTTACAGCTTCTGTGCTTGCTTGGAGTCAATTGAGCCACAAAGTTTAGAAATACTTTGGTGTTGGTTGGAAAGGTTAATTTTCCCATTACTGGCCTTTTGCTCTTATATAAAGGAATTTTGCTCTAGCAATATTTGTACATGTCTGGCTCTTCACCTGGATCTTTTCCTTTGCTGAACACCCTTTGTCCCACTGTTGCTACTGCAGTTACTTATCAGGGTACACTCTTGCTAAGGCAAATGTACACACAGGCTTTTAGGATACTGAAAACACAGCTTGTATCACCATCTGTTTTTAACTAGCTCAGCAAAACCTCCCCCTTTCCACACCCCCCGCCCCCATTAGCAGAAACTTCATTTGCAAAACTTTGACTTTTTCTTTGATGGGGTTGCATAAGACAGCAGGGGACTGGACTCTGACACAGGAGGTCCCTTCCAGTCCTACATCCCTATCTTAAGAACTCAAGTTCTATCAGTTGTCTCCTTTATAAACACTTTAGGGAAATACTGACTGAAAGACAGGTTAGGCAATATGCTAACTTCAGTGCAAATATTATACACTAGTGTCCAAGCAAATGAAACCCAAGTAACCCTAGCTATACAGAAGCATGCATTCTTGATCATCTAGTTGCATTGTTTTAAAAAAAATAAACTATAGGTTTGTAACCACCTTCTCAATATTTTTTTCTCATTGCCTGAATTGGTTTTGCACAGTGCTGAATATGATGATAAATTAAACTGTATTAGAAATGGGTGTTCAAAATGCTACATTGGACCGAAACACTTGTTTGTGCCATACTTAAACTGCCAGTTTAGTTCATCTTGAACAAAGGCCAAGAGTACAGATTAGTCAAAAACCTGATAGACAGTTTCACATGTGAAACTGTCTATCTTTGTCTTCCTTGAATTAATATCCAGTATTTCAGGATACTATCCAGCCTGAATTCTCCTTGTAAAGTAACTAATTCCAGAACTGCTTTCCAAACAATTTGTTAGCCACTTACCGCTATAATCTCACAACTATTTCAGTAGCAGACACTACTGTAGGTAATATTTAAATGGCATATTTTTCCAAGCCCAGCAGAATAAAGGTCTGGGTAGTTATTTTAACTGGTCTGGATTTCCTCAGGAAATATGCTTGGCAGTATTTGTAGTGTTGCTATGTAAGATGCATTCAGTCATTACAGTGCTATTTTGTGCTAACAGACGGTACACCAACAATAGTAATATCACAAGTGTATCTTAATGAGTCACTAATCGTTTCCAGTCTGATGTCCAGTTGGACATTGTATCAAGAGTACAGACAAGTCAATACCAACTTTGCATGATGTTTGACATTAAATCAGTCAGGAAATTCATGCACAAGCTTCCAACTTCCCAAGGCTGTAGTTTTACTCCCTTGCTCGCATGTATTACAAGAGCATCTTATATCTCACATAACATAGGGCCCCACCTGAATGTACAAGGGAAGGCTTCACTTCTGTTCATTAAAAGAACAGACACTGTCATTTCTGGCTGGTGATCTCCTACTTCTGGCTAGGAGTAGCAGATGCAGCCATTGGCTTCTGTTTTATAGTTCTGGTGGCTGTAGTTTTGTGCTGTGTGCACTCACCTATCTTAACCTCAATATATCCACCACGCTTCGCTATTGCCTTGCAGTGATCTACCATGTGAGCATCTTGTGGCATAGACGGGTAGAAAGATTCATGACCCCTTTCCCCACATGGAGCTCTATTATTTGTCAACCATAGCAATGGAGCATAGATTGATAGTATTCCAATAGCGCCTACTACCCCCGTGTCAGTCACTGGATATATTTACAGTAAGAGTTTCCACAGCTGTTCACCTGTTGATTGGGTTTTAAGCCATAGGGAGAAATACAAAATTTGCAAACATACACGAGGTTATAGAAAAAGAAGCAATTTAAACATGTATGTAAATTCCAACTCCCTGATCCTCAGGGGACACATTTGAAATTTAGAAAATGTGAACTCTCTGAGAGCTGGAGCTAGGAATCTGATCTCTATTTTTCTTGAGAGCAAGGGGACTTCTGACTAGCAGAAAACTGGTACTTCTCCATATGGTATTGTGCAAGTTCCTCACTTAAAAGCAGACACATGGCATGAGTGGAGTTTTAAATTGGAACAACTTGTGATTTCTTTTTATTTTTTTAATCAGTCCTAAAAATATCACCTGAAACATTTGCCTGAGCAGCAGAAAGTCCCTCCAATATCTGGACAAAGTAACTGGATATTTAAGTTTCTTGCCCATTCCCTTCCTATTCTTCACAGAAGACTAAATTGTACTTCACTATTGGAATTTAAGATTATTTAATTTAATTTCAAAATGTTTAACCAGTTAATGCAGGAAATGTATATTTATTAATTGCAGAAGCTGTTTTTATTCATTTGTATCCTAGTGAGTAGCAACTGATTTTTGTGATCAGTTTCTTGGTGCTACATAAATGTATCTTTTAGACTGTATCACTAGGCTGAAACCAGGTATATGCCACTTCCAAGTAATTTAAGTGGCTGAAGATGCTGCTGAGAATGCTGCTATTGTACATAGATGCCAACTTGTATAGCTGTGAACAAGTGCACAGTACAGTTTTTGGACACAGTTAACATATTTAAGCCAAACATTTTTTTATAAGACCATTTTAAGAGGTGGTCTAACTTTCCTGGTCTGAATTTTTATACATTTCCTTTATATTGTTTTACAGGCCTGGTGGGTAGGAAAAGACTTTTCTACAGATGTCTGGAAAGTCTGTATCAATACAACCAACTGTACAGCCATTAATGAAAACAATTCAGGTGAGTTTCAGTACTTACTATTAAGCTGTCAAACTAGAAGCTGCTTTTAAGGAGTATCATGTAAAGACACTATAAAATGTTTCAAGACAAATACTTATTTCTCTGCCTCAGTTTCTCCATCTATAAAATGTGGATGCTATTGCTTCCTCTCCATCCTACAAAGGAACTGAGAATTAATGTTCATAAAGTGCACTAGAGTGTGTTTGAAAGGTCTAACAAAATACACACCCTATTTTCTGGCATCAAGAGTCCATAGCAGACTAGTGAGACTAAAACTAAACTGGGTTAAAAACTGTGGTCGCATGTGACTGCAATGAAGGGCATTAAATGCTAAAAATAAGTTCCAGTTTTCAAATTCTAATTTAGAAGAACCTGCTAATAGTATTAATGGTAGTTACCAGAAATACTTTTGAGGAATCTAATTTAAAGATCAACAAAACAGAACACAATCCAAAATCTTAACTAAGGGAACACAATGTACAATATTGACTCAATTTATCCCATTTTAACATGAGTGACTTCACTGGGAATAAGAGATGTATTTCAGTTATGAAACAACAGTAGTAACAATTTCTCTTATCCCACCCATTCATTCTTGGTCTATATCGAAGAGGTGAACAATTTGACCCGTATAATCATGGATGGCTAGACAATACAATGACTTTCTATCTACAAGTCCATTTAGCGAGGAGGTATGAAGATTATTGAGGTAATTTATGGCCTCCATCAGGGTATGGTTATAGTAAGCACCTCAAGTATTTAAACACAACAAAACAAAACCAAAAGTCCCCACACTCTTTCCATTTCAGTTTATAGAGCAATAGCTGGATTGACTTACAGGATTGAGACTAAACTGAGGAAAAGATTAACGGAAGTAGAGTTTTGCACTGAGTTTTGAAAGCTGGTAGGTCCATGGTCACTTACCTCTTCTAGGTCTGCGGCAATGCCCTGCTGTGCATTCACGAGCCATCTCCCAGTGGCTGACAGTTTCACTGTGCTGGTGGAACACAGCTGGTACAGGAGGACATTATTTTGGAGCAAGACACAGTGTCTTTAATAACTAAAGTCAGTTCTATTGAAGGCTTTGCATATCAAGACAAAGGGTGTCTACACTGCAGTTGGAGGTGTGACTGCAGCATGTGTAGATGTATGTGAGCTGGGGTTAATCTAACTAGGTCAAGTATCAATAGCAGTGAGCTAGTTGCCTGAGTACATACCCAGGCTCCCTGGGAGGCTTGTACTTGGGCGGCTAGTCTGTGCTGCAGCACATGCTGCCCGAGCTTCACTGCTGTTGGTACCTGAGCTAGTTAGATTAAATCTAGCTCAAGAATGTCTATATCTGCTGCAGTCACACCTCCAATTGCAGCATAGACCTACCCCTTCACCTTAAACTGTATCCTGTATTATAGGGCCACGGTGTAGAAAGTGGAATAGTGATCCATTCACACTGGCCTGTGTTACAGTTGCCCAGATAGCTTAGTCGGTAGAGCATCAGACTTTTAATCTGAGGGTCCAGGGTTCAAGTCCCTGTTCAGGCGCAGAAGCTTTGGGGGGAGAGGGATAGCTCAGTGGTTTGAGCATTGGCCTACTAAACCCAGGGTTGTGAGTTCAATCCTTGAGGGGGCCATTTAGGAAACTAGGGTAAAAATCTGTCTGGGGATTGGTCCTGCTTTGAGCAGGGGGTTGGACTAGATGACCTCCTGAGGTCCCTTGCAATCCCAATATTCAGTGCAATGCTAAGCAGATCATAGTCCACTCTTCCTTATTTAAGACAAGGCAACCAGAGAAGCATTAACACAGGAATCCTGAAACATCTGACCTCAGATGCTTTCTGAACGACAGCACTGCTGGAATTCATGTTCCTGAATACTGTAGCTCACCCTTGCATTGCTATATCCTCTGACTTTATCTCTGTACAACAGATCAGAAGCAAGGGATGGAATTGGGAAGGTGTAGTGTGACAGACTGGGGAAGCTCTATTTGTGCATTGTGGTTGCAGGGCTGTCAGATGCTGTTTAAAAAGCTGCCTTTAATCGGAGATCAGTAATAGATTCTAAGACCAGAAGGGATCATTGGGATCAGAATGTCCCCCATGTAATTCCTACAGCACATATTTTAGAAAAGTCAGTAAGGGTGAATGGAAATAGGAAGGTGGCACAGAGGCAGTGGCTTAAACAAGAAGGGGAAACTGCAAGGAGGGTAGCCAACAAATCCCATTAAGAACAGACTACGGTTGGGAACAGGTAAGGGTTGGTGCTAGTAGGGGAAGCGGCTGGGGAGGAAGCTGCCTTTACAATAAAACCTGGTTTTATTTTCACAGAATATCAGTCTGTGCAGGCTATTCAGGCCACCATGATCCTGTCTACTATTCTGTGTTGTGTTGCATTTCTGGTTTTCATTCTTCAACTCTTCCGCCTAAAGCAAGGAGAAAGATTTGTGTTAACTTCTACTATCCAGCTGCTGTCATGTGAGTAGCTCTTTGACATGTCTCACTTCAATAGCCCTTACATTAAAAGTGGGAAATAGGGTTCAGCATGGAGCCATGGTACAACACAAAGCAGAAGCAGAAAAATGTTGTACATAATTGGTAAGTTTGTACAAATAGAACAAGTGCAAGACTAATTCTAAAAACTAACCAGTTAGTTTAGCCTCAAGCACAGGCTAAAACTTAGTATCGCTAACCAAACAGTTTGTTTAAAAAGCAGACTATTTTATCCTTGCTCTGAGGTATATGTTAGAATTTTGAAGGAAAACCCAGATAAACTTCTTAAATGTACTAACTTAGGAACATACTTGAATAACTTTCCAAACTTTGCAGGCAAATATTCATTTTTACTTTCACCAAGTACAGATTTAGAACTGCCCATATGCCTGGAACCATCCTATTTCCCTTCAGACTACCATGGTACTTGACAGAGTTAGACAAATAAGTTTATTTTTTTGGGTGGTGGTGGGAGGAACTCTTAATTTTGAGAAGTTGAGAACTTCCTTTTGGACTGATCTGATTTTATTTATTTTTAATTTCCAGCAAATTGAAAGGTTGGGAGAGGGGAGTTAACTGAGTGTTTTTGCCAAACATTTTAGTTAGATTTCTAGCTTAACACAACATTTTAAATAATTAACAAGTTTCAAATGTTCTGATTTTTTTTTGGACTTTGTTTAAAAAAATCCGTCAATATTCACAACATTTCAGTATCGCAGAATCTCCATTTTCTGCCAAAAATGTTTCGATTGAAAAACTTCATCCAGCTCTACTGACAGCACTTTAGTAACATGACTATTTAAACCTGGCTTAAGAAAAGGAATCATTCTAAATACAGTTATGAGGATGAAGAGTGATTGTGAAAAGCAGCATCTGGGCAGGGGATAAATAGTGGTTGAAGAACTACACACTGCCTGTATAACTGCTTTAAATCTTTTAAAGAGTAATAAAGACATTGTTTTAATGCCTTCTTTCTCTTCCAGGTCTCTGTGTTATGATGGCAGCATCCATTTACACAAATAAGCATGAAGATCTGCACAAGAGTAATGGATATGAGTTTGATGTTCCTAGTGGCCAGTACGGATATTCCTTCATCCTAGCCTGGATTGCATTTGCTTTTACTCTGATCAGTGGTGTCATGTACCTAGTATTAAGGAAACGTAAATAAATGTCAGCATCTAGTTATTTCTGTCATTGCAGTACAGAAGCAGAATTCCAATAACCATTTTGTATATAATCATTTGTGGTTTTGTAGTAAAGGTATTGTTTCTCTAAAAATGTACTGTGTTCTTGGTATGAAAGACTATGGAAAAAATGATGTAAGTTTACTGGAACACTCTGCCAGCTGGGGTCAAGAGTCTGAACAAGCCAAGGCCAAATTAGATTTCCTTTGTATGTTACACAACTTTAAATGGCTGCCATTAAACTAGGCATTAACAAGAGTTTGATCCTGCCCTCTAAATGGTTCACACCATGCATAGATGTACAGATGGCATTTAACTTCTGTTGTGGATGTTTAAAGGAACCTAAACACACCTGCTCAACACACACGGATGGGGTCTTCCTAAACTATTTAGCTCTGTTTACTTAAACTTCCTGAAAATGAGACAGGGATTTTTCTATATGGAAATAACTGATATAAACCTGTACTAGGCTATTAGACTTAAATGCTCTCTACTGTAAAATACAGTTTTGGTTAATGGTGATTTAAAGGTTGGTTAATCATCCTTGATAAAGGTTGTGGTTTTTACTCATCTATTGTAGCTTCAGGGTTTAAAGTAGCATTTTATAGTTTGGCATACTTAATCATGGCCTTTTTATACCTACCGTAGTTGGACAAACCCTAGGCCTAGAAAAAGGAAAGCTAGTAGGTTTTGAATAGGCCTGTAACTAGTTACACTTGAGTCAGATCAGCTAATACAAAATAGCATAGCTCTACTGAAGTCGGAGCTACACCCTATAGATCAGTTAAATAGTTGACCTACACAGCTTCAGTGAGAACACTTGTTTGATTACTCACAAGGTAGGAATGGATGCAACTCAGTGAACTATCTCAAACATGGGAATTGGTCTTGCTCTATTTCCCAAAGTGGTGGTGTTTATGTATTACTTGCAGGGGGCAGGAAAAAACTACTGGCTTAGAGAACAGGTAGAGTAAGAGGGAAACTAGATTTAAAGCAGTCCTAGTACTATACATTTTTGCCCTTGTAACATGACACTGCTAGTCTCTTATCTGCATTATTTCCCTTCTAAGTGTGTCCTAACTTGTGAAGTTACCAACTAACACTCCTTTAATTTGTAAAATGTTTGTCCCCAAATCTTCATTCTGTTAAAGGAATAATTGGGTACACAAAGAATAGAATTTGTTCTGTATATAAAAAGATGTACTATAAGGAAAGGGTTAAAGATGACTTCACCCCTGGCTTACATTTCATGTAATGAACAGTAAAATGATCTAATGAAATTATAATACAAAATACTTGGACCAAAACTATGTAACTGACTTATGACTAACAGGCCATACGTTACAGTATAAATACTAACTGGCTACTTGACAGATACTGAAAATAACTGAAGTAAATCATTTTGCCTGGGTCATTTTATAGTTTGAATATTTAAATATGTAAGATACAGCATGCAAATATGTACATACATGTATACACAATCATGCTTTCATAATGAAAGCCTTAACCCCGTAAAGCAAATAGTATATGCTGGAAGAGTACATACAGCCATCTATAGATGCTGCCATATTTTAGTTAGTCCAAGTGTGAATCTTTTGTACACAAAGAAAATGCCAAGAAAAGTTTGAACTCTGTCTTGTGACAGGAAAACTGTATTTTTAGAATTTTTTTACCTACTCGGCCTTGAAAATATTTCATTTTCTATGTTTTATATACTCTGAAATTGTACATGAAAATAAAGCAGAAACAACTACTGTACTGTAACAGCAAGCTTGATACATTTGATAGCCCTTAAAGTTCTGGACCCATTTAAACATTGTGTGTGAGTATTTCTGTGCAAATAAGTAAAAATTAATAGCTCTTTACTTTCCATGTGAGATCCTCATTAAGACACTATAAATAAAAACAAGTAGGTGGTTCACTATGGGAGAAGTAGCAAGAAGTATTTGTCAGCTAAGGAAGCTTTTCCTTAGTTGTCTCTAGGTGACTGGAGGTAGCTAAGCAGCTGGAACTTCAGGGTCTCACTGTGTGGCTATGAAGAGGGACCCTTTGATTAAAGTGGAGCCTGCTCCTTCAGCAAAGTAAAACCATATTGCTAGCATATACATTTAATAAGGTTTTGGCTGAGTGTTTAAACTAGAAGGTAAGGGAAAGATGACAGAAATTACATCAAGGATGTAGGTAATACTAATTTCTGTATCCAGTGAAAGGAAGGACCCAAAACACAACCCAGGCCAGGAAAAGATCACAAGCAGTGTGTGTGCCATCAGTAAAGTATAAGGAGATAAATGAACAAGGCATCTGTTAAAAAGTGAAAGTGAAGTCTATGTACAAATGCAAGAAGCTTAAAAGCAATATTAAAATGCCTGGCAATGGCAGAGGCCTTTCATATCATAAGTATTACTGAAACAGGACACATCACTTAGGCTAGGACTTGACTATGAACTACACAGAAAAGATAAGACTGCCAAAGAGGTGAACAGCACATTATTTAAAAGATTCAATCGAATCCACTGAGCAGCACTGAATGGAGAACACCACGTGGCTGAATATGGATGGATACAAAGCTTCTGCAGTCAGAATTTAAATATATTAGGAGGGTTACACTACTAGTTTCTAATTCAAAAGGATGAGCACACAATACTCAGTGGTCAAACTACCAGCCAAGTCTAGAACAGTGACATTGCTGGGGGAACTTTGGATACCCATGTGCAAACTGATCCAATGGCACAACTGGACAAAGTTTTGTTTGAAGAAGGAATCATTTAAATTGTTTCTCTAAACAACTAGTTCTAAAATACACAAGAGAAGAGGCTTTCTTCAACTCCGTCTTATACACAACAGAATAGCTACTGTTAGACTCACTTTTGAGAATTATGTAACAGTGACCACAATATACAGTAGTTAAGTTCAACTTCTTAAGGGGAAATAAGATTCCAGAAATTGATACAGTAACTCTAAACTTTAGAAAGGGAGATTTCAAGATGGAGAGGGCTAGTCAAAGGTACTAAAGTAAAATTATTGGACTATCTTATGCTTTTCTTAAGTCAAATCCATACCACATCTAAGAAGGCATGCACACTACTAAGCAAAAAAGAGACAGCCACACAAGAAATATATAACTTAATGGCAAGATTGAAAAAGTTATTCAAGAAAAACAGATCTTTCAACATTTGAAAATCAAATCCTAATGAAGCTAATAAACAGGAACAAGTTACAGCAGCAATACGGTATCTCAGAGGGAAGTTGGGAGGTATAAAATAGATTCTGAAGAGTAAACAGCTAACACGATAAAATAAACAAGAAATTATTTAAATATATCAGAAGCCAAGAGCCTGCAAAAGAATCAGTGCATCTGCTGGGTTTGCAGGGGTTAAAATTAAGGAAGCTAAGGACCTAGCTGCAAAGCTAAATGTTATGGGTTGTTTTGTTTTGTGCCTGTCTTCACCACAGATAATGATAGGGAATTACCTACCCAAAACTCTTCTTTGTTGGTTAGTAAGGAGAACCTGGAACAAACTGATCCAGATTATATGTATCCAAGAGTTGTGAAGGAGTTAATCTGTGAAATGACTGAGTTGTTAGCAAAGATATGTCATTAAAAAGAACTTCTATGCCACAGGAGTGGTAAAGTAGTAAGTGTTGTACCTGTATTTTAAAAGGTCTCTGAGGGTGTTCCAGGGAATTGCAGAGCAATAAATCTTACATCTTTAGCTAATCAACTAGTTAAAATGATGATAAAAAAAATTCAAAGGGACACAATATTATGGTAAGGTAGGGTCTAACCAGTATGGTTTCTGCAAAGGAAAATCATGCCTCACTAATCTGGTAGAATTCTTTTAATGTGTCAATGTAGTATATAAAATAGAAACTACTGATAATGTAGACTTTCAAAAAGTATTTGACAAGGTCTCTCATAAGAGACTATATAGGTCTGAGGTGACAAGCAAAGTATTGCGAGATAAAAACAGAAAACTGAACAGATGCAGAGAACACCCTCAGTGTAGCTAGAGCTCTATCATTTTACCTGATCAGGCTGAAGTCATTCAGGAGCAACCCTAAGCTACTTCTTGTGTTGAAGACAGAATGAGGGATCAAGCAATGCCTACCCAAATACTGTGTTAATGGGTGCTTACTTGTATTAAATCTTGCTATGAGTTAGCAAGATTAGATCCACCCATGCAGTTTAAAGTCCACTCCACTAGGGAGTCAAGCAGCTTCTGCAGCTTCCCGGGAAAGTATACCAATCTCTGAAAACTGCACGGCAGCTTCACTGTGATCTGGCCACACATCTACACAGTATTATTCCCTAGCCACAGTATTGGGATCCAATGTCTGGTTTGGCAGAAATTCAAATAAATTGAGCACCCATTTCCAACCTACAAAATCATTGCTTTTGAGTCATTAGAAGTGGAATACATGCAAACAATCACCCAAAAGAAAATGACTGTGAGCTGTTAGGTTGTTGAAGCAAGCTCCCCATCCCAGGGTGGGATGTGCTGCAGCCATGAAGAGATAGAAACACCAATTTTGGGAGAATTCGCTTTCACGTACGTGTTGTCTGAACTTGACAGGTAATTTATTACCAACCAATGTTATAGTGTTCTCATTCTGAGATAAGCATATGGAAGAATATATTACTGAAACCATAAGGCCTATCACTGAGGAAGAATATTACTGTTGGTTGGAATTATCTTGATGTTTGAGAATGGCAGACTTGCCTCTGGAAGGAAAGCCTTTCTTGCTTGAGAATCTAAAAATCACCCAGATAAAAGACTTTCTATATAAGGTAAGATTTCTTTCAATTTATTCTGAGTCCCACTTTCTCAAAACTAAACATATATGAGGACTTCTGTAAGGCCTTTGTGAGCCAGTCATACAAATAGGGATAAATCTAAATAGTCTGACACTCCCCATGCACTGCCAAATTCATTGCTGGATTTGACCACATTGTTCTGGCAGGTTGTAAAAGTCCTTTTAATGCTGGTAGAATGATCTTGGAATTAGAAGAGGTTCCCAGAATATCAAAGTCAGAATGAGCGATAACATCAGTTTCTGTGGAAGTAATCTTTTCATTTAAGTAGAAGCCCTTCTAGATACCATCTCATGAAATTTTATGGCATATTCAGACAGGGAAGATGTTGCAGCAATTCCACTGTCATCTGGTGATGTCTGGTCACCAGGCTTTAGATCAACGTCCTGAAATTCCACATTTCATAGATGGTTATTCTGATAAAATGTCTGGGACAATCAAAGGAAAACATTCTAGAGCATCGGATCTGGTGAATGGGGCTTCCCCTGAGGTCTTGGAGGGAATGACTCCTCTATAAAGGCTATTCTCAACTTCCATATAGTATCCCAAAGAAATAGTAGACCCATCCAGACCAAGGAGGAAACTGCAAGACACCAGAATCAGGTTCTCTGTCATAGAACCTACCATGATATAGGCACAGTCTGTGTCTGTTTGGATTATGTGGAACATTGGTCTAATATCTGCTCTAAAACAGTTTTTTGTCAGGTGACTGGAACTGAGGTGGTAGAATAACTTGCCTGTCCCTATCTGACTAATCAGACCTCAGATCAGAAGCAGCAGATAGTGGTGAAAGGTCTTGGCAACCTTAAAACTGAAAAGGGGGAAGTAATTTTCCCTTGTGAGTCCATAGAGATTTAGGACAGGGAAACTGGAGAAACTTGAATATGCTATACAATCTTTTCTCTCTCTCCACCCCACATCCCCCACAGGAGAAGCTACTGTCTTTCTTTTATCACCTATGTCTTTCCCTTCTGGAGATACCGTAGTCCAAGTATTTTCTGGATCAGTTACTAGAGGCTGAACAAGCAGTGAATTTGTGCTACTGCTCCTACTGTTAGTTGGCGCTGGGGTGGAGAAGCTATAGGATCCTAAGAAATTTTATTTATTTATAACTTTGAACAAAACAATACAATTAATCCTAGCTAGCTAACTATGACTAAAACTAGCTAATGATGTTGTCTTGCTTGAAGAGGTGGTTCTGGAGAGGTTCTAATCTAGTCCATCCACAATCCTGGCTGGAATGAACTGAAGTTTCCTGAGTGCCATGCTTTTATATAAACTCATCCTCAGAATGCTCAAAAACAGTGAGGGAAAAGGCAGGAGAGCACTCCAACAGGCACTGCTAGAAAACATTCCACCACTCAAGATGCACCAAGGGCACAACCCAAGAGTGGGAATATGTAGAGGCCATTCAAAGAACAGCAAATTATTGCAACAAAATGATCTTTCAAGTTGTTTTGTTAGAATTTTGCCATCTTTTAAAATACCTGTAGGTATATATGAAAACTTTTAATATTGAAAGAATCAAACTTATTGGGGTTTTTAAATATTGTGAGTAACCTACATAACATGATTTAAACTGTACAAGAAAAACGTACGTTGCTTGTAGTTTATTATTAAATTTAAATTAATCCAGGTATTGACTATTTCTTTATATATTTGCTGTAATGGACACACTACAAATATCACTGAATTCATTTCAATATGCATATTTACATAAACAGAAAGCCAACTGTCACCACACTGTTTTTGTAATTAATAATTTTGTAAACTAATATTCTAGAACCATCACTAACCTAAGTAATGGGTCACCTACCTCTTTGTGGCATTCTCAAATGTCTGTCTGGATGAGTAATAACTACCATAGTACCACACCTAAAGGCAAGTGAAGCCTCTTTAATACCAGAAGATACAAGCAGGTGAAGTACTTATACAGCACTGGAAAACATTTATTTATAAACACTTTAATCAACTTCCCCAGAAACTTAATTCTTGCCCAAAATGGGTGACAATGAAACAACCTCACTTGGTGTTCCTTTACAATGCAGCATCTCTAAAAAGATAATGGTCCAGCTGATTGTCTCAGGTGATGGTAGTATTTAAACACTATAGTTCCTGTATTATCATCATCCCCACTACAGAGACTTTCATCCTTACAAGCATTTTTCAGAGGCTTCAGAATAATGGAGATGCTCCTGTAGTACTGTAGGGGTACACAAGTACAAGAACTAAAACCTTCCGAAAGCTTGTGCACCATTTAGTGAAGGAAATGGAACACAAAAAACCCACTATCTTCCCCCAAAAATACAAAAAGGGTGAGCAGAACACCACAAAAAATTCATGACATATTAGATTTCTAATCTCATGATCGTCATCACAATTCATAGTTACCAAGTAGAAACTTTTATTCCTTTATGTCCCAAGTACATCCTACATGAAAGGAATGGGAGGGGAAGGATTGAGAAGGAAAATAACTAAACTAAACACAGAACTGAAATTAGTTTTATAAACAGAATTCTCAGTGTCAAGTTATTAGAAACAACTTACAAAATGTATAGAACAATGCTCAGAATATAAATAACTGATAGTTGGCATGATAGATAAGAAACAGAACTGAGTGAATACAGTCTGTGGTACAATTAATTCCTTGGCTCTGGATTGTTTACAAGTAAAAATACAATATTTCAAATTGAAACAACCGTGTAACAGTTATTGAGGTAGCTTATGAGTTTTCCAGAGAAATTAAAGTAATTGATTGTATATCACAAAACGGTCCATAACGTCCACATACATCTTTTGATTGTATAGTAAAGTAGTACTTCTTGGAGGCTGTAAATTGTGATAAAGAACAAGCCATTGGTAGGGGCAAAGCCTTTATTTCTCCTATTTTCTTCCAGTGTGGTACAGTACTGTTATTGGAGTGTTCATGGTATATGAACAAGTGATAGCTCTCTACAGGAGCGCACTTGGGATCAATCTCTGTAACAGTCCATGAGAGTGCAATACCTTTTGGATTTTGCACCTGAGCCAGTTTTAGTTCAGGCTTCTGAGGTGGCACAGTGTCTCTGAATCCATCCTTGAGTTCTGGGTATGGAGGTATCCTTGGTAGCGGAGGAGGATGTGGAAACTGTTCAAGAACCTAGGGAGCATTAAAAAAAAGGGGGTGAATAACTTAGCATTACTGTAATATTTCTGTAATATGAACAAATCAACCAGAGTGTGCTAACTTTTGATTCAGATTAAGTGTTCCCATTTTAGGAAACAGTTTCAAAAGTGTTAAGGAGTTCATTGTATCAGCTTTACCAAACAAGGTTTTTGTACTGTGGTAAAGAATGCTGCATTAGTCTCATTTTAGGTATTTCTTAGTTCAGTAGTTCTTAGAATGACTCTATGGATAAGAATACTAAATTCAAAACAAACAACAGTATTTTGTTAAATTGTTTTGTTTTCTGGTATGTCATGCTGTAATGCTTTATTTACTGAATTTATGTTACTTTACCACTTTTAAAAAAAAATCCTTCCAAAGACTCCCTCTAAACTAGCCCTATTTTACAGTCTCTAAGAGGTCAACAGACAAGAACAGTCACAGGAAATTATCTATCGCTGCTACATAAACGTTTACGTTTTGCTAACAGATTTTATTTTCCATAAATCCAATACTCTCCCCCCGCAAAAAGCAGAAGACACTACTAACAAACATTGTATTAAGATTATTTTTGGTTGTCCCAAAATGAGTGCTGTAGAGGTCAACATTATATCTAATTGAATTGTGACGATGCAAATCTATCAGTGTTCTGTTATTGCACTCTAATAACATTTCCAAAAAATACCTAGAGATTCAGCCAGACAGCAGCACATCCATAGGACGGAAAGGTTTTAAAAAAGTAAACTTCACCAATATGAATAATACTATAGGTATCTTGATCAAGTTTAATTATTATTAGGGAATTTTGACAGCCATCCTGCAATCAGATTGTTCTGTACAGATATCATACAATGTAAGACGCTGAAAGAAAGAGATTATGTTCCTATCTCACTGGCAATTATCAGAGCAGAAAGCTTGCACTCTATGTAGGTCTTCAAAAAGAAAGAAAAGTTAAATTGACCGATCTTTAAAAACTGCTGCTTAAATTCAATCTCAGAAGAAATCCAATAAGGCAGCTGTGAAGAGAGTCTGTCATAGCTATTTTAGAAGATTCATTCTGGTTTCATAGCCTTTTGAACATCCAGAAGAACAGAACAATAAAAAGCAGGACTGACATAGGGGTTCCACCCTCCTCATAGTACTATAGTCAGTTAAAAAAATCCCAAACCATAGAACTGCCTTTTCTCCCTGTACATTTTTCTTTTTGATAGTCAATTACCCCTGAGGATATATTGTAGACAGTTCTGTACATCTATTAACAAAATATTTTAGGCTGAGAACAATTCACTGCTCCTGGAAGCATCTGTACTGTTCCATTAAAGATTTATAGTCCTGACAGGTCACAAGATAGATCATAAAATCCTGTTACCACATTTGGTTTTATGCTTTTAGCACAAGATGTGCAAAAATTTCTTGGGTGGATAGAAACAGATTTTTCTCACACCCGGATGTCCCTGGCATTAGTCAATCCCTTCCCTACTACCATCAAGCTCTTCCAAGAATCACATTACCCTTTTTTCTTCCCCATGGTGCTTCCTTAGAAGGATTCTGGACAATCTCTTTGAGGTGAAAAAGACAGAAAAATGATTGGAGTCTCCCCTTCACCATGTGCTGGCACCTTCTGCAGATACCACTCTCCCATGGCTCCCAGCCCTAACCCAACGGAAAGCTCTGCAAGTCATACAAGTCACTTTCTCAAAAGCAGGGACATCATTTCAGAAAAATTCAAGGGAGCAAAGCTATGTCAGCATATACAATACTATATGTGACGATTGTGACACTGCACTCCATATTCTTCATAGTGATATTATGATAGGATTATGATGTATTTTATGCAAAATAAGTCATGGGAGGGATCATTGGAAAAGTTATGATTTGCTGAATATGATTATCCTATTTGTATGCATGTATCATTTTTGTATCTGAAGTTATGAATATTGGCTATGTATCTGTATTTCAAATGTAGTTATACTTGGGTAACATCCACTAGACAAGATGCTGTCAGTCTAGATAGTAGGTGGGGAAGGACCTATTCAGGGCAATGGCCCATTAGGAAAACAATAGGCCTTAGGAGAAGCTTATCTCCCACCTGGGGAGCTTTCCTGAAAATGCTACAGACAGCCTCCAAGTAATGGCTGCTGTGACTATACAATGACATGTGATTAGACCACATGTCTCTGGACTCCATCTTGGGATGTCAGTATTTTTCCACAGACTAGTCTGGGAACTAAGCTTTGGGAACAAAAAGGTTCCTGCCATATGCGAAAGCTATATAAGGTGGGGAGTGACATCATCTGGTGTTCTTCACTCCCCACTCAAGAAGACTCCTAAAAACATCCATGGAACAAAGACTGAATGGAGGGAAGTGCTGGACCCAGGCTAAAGGGATTTCTAGCCTGTGAATGAAACACCTGGGGATTCCAAGTTGTAAAACAGGTGAAGCTTGCCCCTGTAAGAATCTGCAGCCTACTTGTATCATTTTAGGGTGAGAATCTGCTAGTCACGTCCAATATATTTAGTATATTAAGCTTAGTTTGTATTTTTTGTTTATTTGCTCAGTAATCTGCTTTGATCTGTTTGCTAATCACTTAAAGTCTCTCTTTTGTAGTTAATAAAGTTGTTTTTGCTTTATCTAAACCAGTGAGTTAAAGTAAAGTGTGTGGGAATCTTAACTCAGGGGAAAAAGCTGTATCCCAGTTCCAGGTGGCACCCTGGATGGAACCCATCACAATTATTATATAATATTCTAAAAAATCAGGGAGGGGACAAAAAGAGAGTGAGATAATCGAGCATATAGACCTATGGGGGGTGGGGTGGGGGGGAAAAGAGGCAACTGTCACCGCTGTCCTATAACAAATGATGCTCCTGTCCAAGAAGGGAGCGCTCCATCCAGAGTTATATTTTCAGTCTCAGTGCTCAGAAGCCATCCCCAAACCCTTCAATAGAACTGAACTAATATTATTTTTTTAAGATAATGGGCAGAATATGCTAGGCATAAACACAAAAGAAGACAGTACCCGTCCTGAAGAGCCTGTACTCTACAGAGCCAGGCTTCCTTTCATCCATAATGTGATGCTGCAGTTAGGGAGAGGCTCCAGCCTCTCCCTTGTCATACTTCTTGTCCAGCTGCTGTGTGGGTTCCCTATAGATATTTAGATAGTTTTGTGTCTCCGCAGTGGATGGATGGGTGGGAGGCAGATGCTCAAATGTTATTAGGAGGTAAAGAAGAAACAGATGTCCCTTGCTGATGACATTTTGATCTGTCTTGCCTTTACAAAACTGAAGGTGCTATGTGGTGTACCCTTTATAGTGGCATGCCCAGGGCTCAAACTGGGCTAGTATGCAGCAGTATGGTATACCAGCTCCTCTCCCAAGTTGCTATTACATATATATAATTTAAGAGACGAGTTAGCGGTTATGGTTGAAGAGAACCTTGAAAACGAGAAGTAACCAGTGACACCTATCTGTGTCTGGAATAACAACTCCAAGAAATGTGAGGTGACCCATACATCTCAGTGGGATGTTAACTCACATGCCCAATCATGATACTTTAAAGTAAGTATACCACTGCTAATTAAAGCATGCAAGATAGAAGAATGGGGTGGGAGTACAGACTGCAGATTTGCACTATCCACAGTGAATGATCTCTCGTTTTGGTACCACGAGTGGGTGATGTTTTAGAGATGCCATTGGTTTTTTGGTTTGTTTGTTTTTTGGTCCCCAATCAAAGAGGAGCAGAGCACAAGAAGCATCACAGACCCCAGCAGGGCATTTGAGCCCCACCACGGCTAAGCCAAGCCAAAGCAGCTTAGTAGAACCCAATGGAATATTCAAATACCCCAGTTATGAGACAAACTCCTGGACCCCAGAGACCACACATGATCATGTTTTAACATTTGCACAGTCGATTGTGAACAGTACTTCATTCTGGCAACTCACATGAGTGGAACAGTAATAAAACATGCACATTTAGATACTTGACCTTTAAATTACTGCTCCCTCATTCTAGCACTCATTTTTAGACACTGGAGTAGGACTGAATACAGAAAGTCTTGGACCCCCGATGGGTGAAATTTTCAACCCCCTTTTCACTCACTCAATTTCAGAATGGTTCCCCCCCCCCCCCTTGACTGAAATTTTCCTTGCTGGTCTTTGCCCCACGATAGGTTTTCCACTGCAACATTTTCTACAATAATTTTTAGAAAAAGTTCATTTTAGCATGTAGCAATTCCTATCTGATTGATGTTCTTGCTTCAATACTGCTTCTTCTAATATTTAGATTTTTGTTAGAATCCCCACCATTTTAGGAGCCATTATTGCAGTAAAAGTATTTCATGGTCACTGAAGACTTTACTACTTTTCATAATACAATACTACCTCCTTGTGGCTCAAAGGAGTAAACTTACCTTTGCCAAGGAATCTAGTTTAAAACAAATGTAATGATAATGTCTTTCACCGAAAATGTCCTTTAAAAGTCTGTTTTAATTCCCATTAAGTTGTATATCATAGATTCATGAAGAGCCAGTCAGTTGGAATTTGTAAACACTCCAAATTTAAAAATAAAAATTGTAAAAAGCTTAAGAAAAAAAAATACCTGATGTGATGCTTGTGCTGGTGGCTCAAGGCGATTTGATTTGAGGCTTGCTTTCTTTGAATTACTTTTGTTTGACACAGAATTTTGGTCTTCTTTTAACTTACCTGTAAACAAAATGCAAGTTTTAAATACTGTAATTTTCCAACTATTGGAAGTGAACTGGGTTAAGAATCTTATTTCACAGATTTGTGGTTTATGTTTACATACTGAGGATTTCTCAGGATTGTGCAAGGGGTAGGCAACCTATGGCATGCGTACCAAAGGCGGCACGTGAGCGGATTTTCAGTGGCACTCACGCTGCCTTGGTCCTGGCCACCGGTCTGGGGGGCTCTGCATTTTAATTTAATTTTAAATTAAGCTTCTTAAACATTTTAAAAACCTTTACATACAACAATAGTTTAGTTATATATTATAGACTTATAGAAACAGACCTTCTAAAAATGTTAAAAATGTATTATTGGCACCCAAAACCTTAAATTAGAGTGAATAAATGAAGACTCAGCACACCACTTCTGAAAGGTTGCCGACCCCCGTTCTAGACTGAGGACCCTGGAGAATGAAATCTCCATTTACCTACAAAACACACAAGCAGTAGAGTGCAAACTTGTTCACACTATTAAAGTGCTTCAGCTGGACATGTATGGGCTATCATTAAGTGAGAGTAAGGGGGATAGTTCAGTCTTCATTTCATTTAATTGTCCAGCTTGATATTTCATCTTGATCAAAACAGAATTAGATAAGTTAATGGAGGATAGGTGTATCAATGGCTGTTAGCCAAGATGGTCATGGATACAACCCCATGCTCTGGGTATCCCTTAACCTCTGATTGCTAGAAATTGGGAGTGGATGACAGGGACAGATCACTTGATAAATTGACCTTTTCTGTTCATTTCCTCTGAAGTATCTGGCACTGGCCACTGTCGGAAGACAAGATAGTGGGCTAGATGGACCATTGCTCTCACCCAGTATAGCCACTCTTATGCTCTTACTTCCTATTCACACTACATGCAGACCACCAACTCAGTTAACAGAGTTTTAGCTGAATATCTCTAACTAAGATCTTACATTAAATACATCATCTTCATCCATTCCAAAATGATTTCTGAGTTTCACATATTTTACAAACTACTACACAAATACCCACCACTAAAATGCAACATTGTCTTGGTGGGATGCAAGAGCCTTTTAACAGGACAGGAACACTAACATGGCAGTTTAGAAGAAGAACAAAAAAGAAACCTGCAGGAAGAATTTAGGAAGTAGTAACTTATTTGTTCCAACTGGAATTTTTTCCAAGATACTGCCTAACAGCTATTCTATTGCAAAAAAGTGGCATGTGATCTTAAATTATTACAAAGATTCTGATCCAGTTTTAAAATTCATACAAAACACAACATCAACAACAGCACAGTGCTTTTTAACTCCAGGATAGAGCATTAGTTTTGTACACAGAAAGGAAGAAGGTAACCTACCAAGCCAGCCACTAATACTGTTTCCTGCAGCACCCTGAGTTCTTCCATCCAGGTCTTGACCTAGAACAAATACTGCTTAGTTTACAAAAAATTTATGAGATTACAAATCACCCCAAGGCAGTATATCGCCAAGTAATAACTTTTACTGAAACCAAACTACTTGAGTTCAAATCCTGAAGCTGGACAATTATAGATGATTTATAGCCAAAAGAATGTTATTTACCAGCAACTAGAGTTCTCCAAACATTTGACCCATGAAAGTCCATATTATCTCTCCCTTATCCTTTGTTACCACACTTCCTCCTCACCTAAACATAAAACACTCTGCACCTAATTGGGGTCTTCTCATTGCAGGAGCAGTGGTAGGCAAGTAGCCAGCTCATTCTGTGGTGGGGAGCAAGTCTTCACCCACACATGGATGAGGAACAGGAGTCTCTCCTCATTATGGGGAATATTTAAGAAGGCAAATCAGGCTGTATTGTGACTAACTGGCTCTGGGTTCCTGGCTCCTATTTCAGTTGTTAGGCAGGTGGGAAGAGATTGGTCTGATGCAGCCTTCAATCTTAGTGAAACACCAGTTAATGACTGACATCTGCTTGCATCATTGAAGAGAGGGACTAGGAACAGTTGCAGTAACAAGGTCTTATATCATTACAGCTGGGACACTGGATCCATGAGTCAATAAGCATACATCCCTTTAAAAAAAAAAAAAACAAACCTACTTTAGAACTGTTCTTGGAGTGCAAGGTACTCTACTACAGTGGAGATATGCAGAAGCAGTTCCTTTCAGGAGAAAGTTTTTTCTTTTAAGGAATGGGTCCCAATCTCACAACTCCACAAGATTATTTTCTCTTAGGTTTAAAATAAATTACTATCATTCATTCATACTAAATCAAATCATTCATACTTACACCTATTACATTTTAAGTTCTCATTTTCAGCATCTCTATAAACAAAATCATTTTTTCTTTCACCTTTATCAAAATTGTGCTTTTCTTCTTCTGTTAGATCAATCACTGCAGATTTTGTTTTTTCTTCAGTGCACTGTAAAAACAATGGCAATTCCAATTAAATTGTTTCTACAATGGCTTAATTATAAATGTGTGTATAAATACTTCTGTTAAAATTTATGAACTGTATGCAAACTTACTTGAAAATTAAACTACCAGAAATGCTCATTTTTATATAAAACTTCTTGTAGATGTGAAAAACAACAGAAATAAGTACAGTGTAGAAGTGTCAGTATCTGTAAGAACTCAGACATTAAAAATATACTTGGTAGATCACCTAGCCAATCAATCAACAGTACGAGGACAAACTATGAAAGATGGATTTTATAAACATTAATGCATCTCAATGGTAATTATACAAGTCTTGGCTCTCTAAGAGCAAATCTACACAGACAGTTTTTCACTAGTTTCCTTCTAAGTAGATATGCTTTAGGATAAGTTTTCAGATAGCTTGCCAATGCACAAGACTGCCAGTAAACTTCTTATTTCTAGGATTTTCTGAAATAAAGCCTTTTTCCCCTCTTGCTAAGGGAAGATGTAGAATTGTTTATTATTTTATTAAATATAGTAATTCAATTGTAAACTTAAGGAATCATTTAATGTAACTAAACAAGTGTTTGTATAGTGGTTTTGTACAGATTTTAAACAATTAGGTCTTATATACACTATCTTCCCTTCCCCCCCCACTAATTCCCACAGTTGTTCCCACTGGTGCAGTTCCACCATTGGTAGCAGAAGTATAGTGGGAAGAGAGCAGTTTTTCCACCACCATCTTGTCTAAATATTCCCGAGCAGGCTTATACTACATGGTAGTAAAAATAAACACCAGGTGCCCCATATATACCAGTGTTTGCACTTTTGATACCACCAAGTCCCACTTTTCATTAACCAAAGCAGGGATTTTTATTTTTTATTTATTTTTGGGGGGGGGAGGGGAAGAAGAGAGAGTCAGGAAGCTTTGTGTGTAAACTGACCATTAAAGTGATTTAGAACAATCTGGACACAAACCATCAACAAAAAAAAATGGATATAATTTGAACATGTTTTGTTGCTAAAGTCTAACCACAAGCTTAGCCTGCTTAAATAATATATTTACAAATTGGCTTATATAAAAATATTCTCTGATTTGAACTAAATAAGAAATGTGGTTTTGAATAGCATTTTCAAACTATGTTATGTGAAAGACTGGGTGTAACATTTAATCTACATTTTGAAAAGTTAATGTTAAATGAAAATCTTCAGTGATGAACCCAACCTAAAGTACTTCTCTACACAGTGGGGAAATGCACTCTAAGGAGCTGTGATTTCTAAAGTGCACTAATGTACTGATCATTAATTGGTCCACATAGACCTGCTGGTGCACACTAAAGATTCCCTAGTGTGCTTTAACATGTTTCAAATGGCACTATGTTAAAGAGCATTAGGAAAGCTTTAGTGTGCAACAGCAGAATCTACACTGACCAATTAATGCGTACCACAAATGACATGATTCAACCATATTAGAGTAGGAAAAAATTCCAGGAAAAAATGGCTAAGGTGAAGTTAAGGTTGAGACTATACATCAGTAATGTAAGAGCTAAAATCCTTATGTTAAAGTTTTTGAAGAATAAGTTCACAAGTCTGCTTTAGACTTTAGAGACCACTCTTGTTTTCTCTTGTTGTGCTTTAGACTTTAGAGACCACTTTATCTTGGCAAACAATATGGTTTCCTAGTCCAAATTTTGCCTGCAAGATGAGGGCCTTTTGTTGGGTCACCAGTCCCATAGGAACACAGCCTCCTGACAAAGTGTTTGAGATTGAATTTCACCTTGCTTATCAAAAGGGAACCAAACATTAAAATATTTAATACTTGTTACATAGGCTTGGAAGGATTAGATTTTTATTGGTAAATGTCAATTTCATCGTGTACACACAAAAAGATGAAAAAATATTTCCATTGATGATGATCAAAATTTATAGACAGGAAAACAAAAATGCTGCTTGAAAACTTAGTAAAGTTTGATTTAAAGATATTTACTTTGTATATGTTGACATGTGATGTTGACAATTTGTGTTTTAATGGGGGTAAAGCTTTAACTTTTTGAATACCAGTGTCTACTATTATTAAAGTGTCAAATCCCCTCCATAAAAAAAAAAGCTTTAAAAATAAACATAATTATCTGTCAAAATTATAAGCAGCATCTAATTCTGCCAAGTACACAGGAAGAGAGGAGGGTCTGCTTCCCCGATCTTTTCCTTCCTTAGCCCGCTTGTACAGCAGATCTCCTAGGAATTTCAAGAATAGATATTCCATCTGATGAGTTTTGTGTGTGTGTGTGGGGGTGTGTGTGTGTGTGTGTGAATGCCGAGTCCTTAGAAGAAAGCAAAGAGATGAGGGACATATTTTCTGTGTGTTCTATAATCCAGTCGAAGTTAAGGGTTATCTTTTTTAAGAATGCTAAAAGCGACTGCTACAGTTTTATATAGGGAATACTTTCTGCTTTTAAAAGGTGACTTGTACATAATTATTTTAATTGGAATTGCACTTTATTTTGTTTACTTCTGATGTATGAAGAGGGCCTAAAAAAGTTCCGCTTATTTTTTCCACATTAGAAATATGAATAATGTCAAGCCTCGTCTTCCCTGATTTTGCTTAGAGATCTCAAAGTATGCTAATGGTGAGCTCTTACTTCAAGGATGGCGGTGCGGAATTTTTAAAAAGTTATCCTTTACCCAAACTATTATTCACTGAAGTTGAATAGGTGTTTACAAAAAAACAAAGTTTTGGAACAGAGAAAAAAATTCCTTCTCCCTTTCATATGCTGAACTTTTCTGTCTCTTGTGATCTCATCATTTCACCAGTTCTCCAGGTATTAAAGTCTTCCGGATAGACAAGAACTACAGAGAAGTAGAAGGCAGCACAAACCCAATATTGTTTTCATTGCAGTTCACCTTTAAGATGTGAAAATGAGACAACAGCAATGTGCACAACAGTCCCTCCTTCTGCAAGGTGCCAAAGAGGAACCAGAATGTGCTGTATCTGCACAGAATGGTAAATGACCTGAAGTAACGACCATCACCACCACCACATTTGAAAAAAAAAAAAACAGGCTTTGTTTCATTATTTTATGTACAAACAATTAAATGTAACTTTAAGTTTTAGCAGATGAGCATGAGAAAAACTCTTAACCTACCTTGTTTTTGGATTGAGCTTTAGTGGAAATTTCTGCTTGTGTAGAAACTAGTTTTTTTTGAATATCTGAAACAATTTTCACAAAAGATTAAAAAATTCAACTTTCAATTAATAAACCTGGTTGATGCAGGATGCAAAAATGTCCATCTAATAAGTGGAATGCCAGAAAATTACCAAATAGACTTGTAGGCATACATGCGGCAATCAGCCGTAAGTGAATGACACAGGGACTCACTGAGAATGCCCAATATTACCCTCTCTGCCCCAATGCAATGGTCTGGCAATCAAGTCAGACAGCCAAGATTTCTTCTAGAGGGGCCCCTGAAGTCCAAAGACACCTCTGTAAGATTAGGGAGAAGCCTCTACACTACGTATTTAGGAATGCTCACAGACAGTGGGTCAGCACAGATGTTAAACTCTTTTTCGACTGGATAGTGCTCTCAAAAAGCGCTAATTGTTAGTGAGAAAAATTTTCAAGCATGGTTAGTGAGACAGGTAAAGCAAATGGAAGTTTTAATCATAACTGATGGGTTGCTCTTACTCTTCTTAAACAGCAACCAAGGAAAATTATATTTTGATATAATTAAAAAGAGTAAAAGCATTACTTGTAGGCTACTATGGTAGTTTAATTATAGTAATCAAATCTGTTTGGATTAGGATGTATACATGCCAAGGTTAGTTTTGGATACCTGAATTGTTTGCAGTTGTTACTGTTGTTGAATTTCTGCTTTCCACAGAAATCAGTATAACTTCATCAGAGCTGACAAACAAAACAAAAAATTTATTCACCAAAATCAAAACGTTAGAGATGCATGAAAACAGGCCCCCCTCTCCTCTAATGTAAGCTATCAAGAACTAGCTACAGCACATTTAAAAGCCAGGAAGTTCAGATAGTTGATTTAACAAGAAATCAAAAACAAAATAAAACAAATGCATTTTATAGCATCCTGGCTAGCTGTAAACTCCAAAATAATAGAATAGGAATCATTCAAATAAAGAGCTCTCCAAATACCATGACTCAATATCTAATTAGGCAGAAACTTTTTAAAATCCCTTCAGCTTTGCATTTCAAAGTACTGATCTGACCATTACTGTATCTCCATCACATAACAGCAGAGAAGGTAAAATACTTCAAAAATGTTCATGTTCTAAGATCCCATTTAAAAACAAACAAACAAAAAAAACCCTGGTTGTTTCATCTTAGAAAAACTAAGAGATTGGGAAGTCTATCCATTTCTTTATGGCAACAATCACCCTAAACGAACCCACAACAGAATAAATGTGCACATGCACAGACGTGTGGGTATCTGAAATTTGCTTATCAATTAGACATTTCTATGTACATTTTGAACCTGTAACCCTCAAGCCTCCCACACTAAAACAAACAAAAAAATCAAACACCTTATTATCCCAAGGTCCTGACCTATGATATATATCAAATATCCACTGTCCAAATCCCTTATCTCAAATCCCAGAGTCTTTTGAATCCCCATTCTAGAATCCTCTTTGCTTCTTTTAGCCAAGGATGAAAATGCTGTAATACATTATTTATATCCATTTTTCATTTTGCCATAAAGCTGAAGTAGAAAAACAAAGCTAAATATGATAACGTCACATGTAAAAAGAAAAAAGCATCATTTATACATTCATATTGAAAATTTCATGAGTTGCACATTTCTGTGTGTTTTGAATTCCTGGAGGATTACTATCAACCTAAATAAAAGTCACACTTGTCTGAAAATGTTAGAACAAAAAGTATTTAAGATTACTATAAAACTGAAGGCATATGGAGAAAAATGTTTGTTTTTTCAGGTTTACAACTAATACAGTCAGGTTTACTGCTTTCCTTATATAGTCAATTAGTTCCCTGTGTTCTTTGTGTTAATCTTTTACGTGGCACCAGAGGAGAGATAAAGAGTTTTAAAAATAAAAATAGGATTTTAAAAGCACAAAGATCAATACGGGAACTCAGGAACATGTATAGTACCTAAAACTACTATTCATGTTTTTTCAAATTTACTACGTTTCATGTTGACAGTGTTGCGTGAACACTGGACACCATCCAACAATATCATAAGTAGTTTTACGAAGTTCATATTAAGATCTATATTCACTATGAAACATTTCTTATATTACTATTTGGATGCAGATTATCTGTTTGATATTACAAACAGTAATCAAAATATTACAAGAATATATTAATTCAATTTCACTTACCTGATATTTTCACCTCCTGTGACTGTATCAATACAGAACAATCTCTGGGTCTGCCCCTCCTGCCTGGGAAAGGCATGCAGGATTGACCATCAATCAATCTGTAGCATGCTAAAGCCCTCTACACTCTCTCTTGGAGATCAGTGGTTTGTTCTTCCCCCCACAGTGAAGGAAAAAATGTGACTATCTTATCTCCTTAAATTATACAAATCTCCCTCCAGGAATCAAAAT